GGTTAGTAGTTTATACTTCCAAATTCCCAGGGTTTACATTATTTGTAAAGCAAAAACTAAACATCATTAAATTATCACTACTCAAAAGAATATACATATTTTTAATCATATCCAATCCAAACACTGTTCATTGAGTAATACATACTTAACACAATAATGAAATATATCAAAATCCTCAAATATCCACAGCCATTTCACTTCATAGCCACAGAAGGTGGGAAGTTTAGTGTTCTGCACCTCCAGAAGGCATCAGGATTTAAACCTCAGGCTCAGTCAATTTCAGAAAGGAGGAACGTATGGCAGGAAGATCTAACAGAAAGTTAATCTTCCTATTTAACTATCTTGAGCTCAAGAAAACAACAACCAGCAGCCAACCCACCCAGGCTTTAACAAACAGCCTATCAGACCACAGCACAATCAGACTAGAACTCAGGATTAAGAAACACACTCACACCCACACAACCACTTGGAAACTGAACAACTTGTTTCTTAACATTGACTGGATAAACAATGAATAAAGGCAGAAATAAAGATGTTCTTTGAAATCAACCAGAATGAAGACACAACTTACTAGAATCTCTGGGACACCTTTAAAGCAGTATCAAGAGGGAAATTTATAGCAATAAATGCCCACCAGAGAATAGAGGAAAGATCTAAAATCGACACCCTATCATCGAAATTGAAAAAACTAGGGGAGCAAGATTAAAAAAAACTCAAAAAGTTGCAGAAGACAAGAGATAACTAAGTTCAGAGCAGAACTGAAGGAGATAGAGGCAAAAAAACCTTCAAAATAATCAATAAATCCAGGAGCTGGTTTTTTGAAAAGATCAACAAAGTAGACCACTAGCCAGACTAATTTAAAAAAGGGCAAGAGAGGAATCAAATAGATGCAATAAAAAACGATAAAGGGATATCACTACTGATCCCACAGAAATAGAAACTACCATCAGGGATTACTACAAAACAGCTCGACTCACATAAACCAGTAAGCCAGGAAGAAATGGATAAATTCCTAGACACTTGTACCCTATCAAAACTAAACCAGGAGGAAGCTGAAACCCTGAATAGACCAATAACAAGGGCTGAAGTAGAGGCAGCAATCAATAGCCTACCAACCAAAAAAGTCCAGGTTCAGATGGGTTCATAGCCGAATTCTACCAGATGTACAAAGAGAAGCTGGTTCCATTCTTTCTGAAACTGTATCAAACAATACAAAAGGAGGGAATCCTCCCTAACTCATTTTATGAGACCAACTTCATCCTGATACCAAAACCCGGCAGAGACTCAACTAAAAAAGAAAACTTCAAGCCAATATCCATGATAAACACTGATGCAAAAATCTTCAATAAAAAACTGGCAAACAGATTGCAATGGCACATCAAGAAGCTTCTCCATCATGACCAAGTAGGCTTCATCCCAGAGATGCAAGGCTGGTTCAACATACACAAATCCATAAATGTAATCCATCACATAAACGGAACCAAAGACAAAAACCACATGATTATCTCAATAGATAGAGAAGGCCTTCAATAAAATTCAACAGCCCTTCATGCTAAAAACTCTCAATAAACTAGGTATTGATGGAATGTATCATAAAATGGTAAAAGCTATATATGACAAACCTACAGCCAATATCGTACTGAACAGACAAAAGCTGGAAGAATTCCCTTTGAAATCAGGCACTAAACAAGGATGTCCTCTCTCACCACTCCTATTCAACATAGTATGGGAAGTTCTAGCCAGAGCAATCAGGCAAGAAAAAAAAAAGGGTATATGATTAGGAAAGGAGGAAGTCAAACTGTCTCAATTTGCAGGTGACATGATTGTATATCTAGAAGACCCCATCATCTCAGCCCCAAGTCTTCTCAAACTGACAAGAAACTTCAGCAAAGTCTCGGCATACAAAATCAATGTGTGAAAATCACAAGCATTCCTATATACCAATAACAGACAGACAGCCAAATCAAGAGTGAACACCCATTCACAATTGCTACAAAGAGAATAAAATACCTAGGAATATAACAAAGGATGTAAAGGATCTATTCAAGGATAACTACAAACCACTGCTCAAGGAAATAAGAGAGGACACAAACAGATGGAAAAACGTTCCATGCTCATGGTTAGGAAGAATCAATATCGTGAAAATGGCCATACTGCCCAAAGTAATCTATAGATTCAATGGTAACCCCATCAAGCTACCAATGACCTTCTTCACAGAACTGGAAAAAACTACTTTAAACTTCATATGGAAATCACAAGAGACCCCGCATAGCCAAGACAATCCTAGGAAAAAGAACAAGCTGGAAGCATCATACTGCCAGACTTCAAACTATACTACAAGGCTATAGTAATGAAAACAGCATGGTACTGGTACCAAAAGAGAGACATAGACCAATGGAACAGAACAGAAACCCCAGAAGAAACACCACACATCTACAACCATTTGATCTTTGACAAACCCAGCAAAAACAAGCAATGGGGAAAGGACTCCATGTTTAATACATGGTGTTGGGAAAACTGGCTAGCAATCTGCAGAAAGCAAAAATGACCTCTACCTGTCACCTTATGCTAAAATTAACTCCAGATGGATCAAAGATTTAAACATAAAACCTAACAACATAAAAACACTAGAAGAAAATGTAGGCGAAACCATCCAGGACATAGGCATAGGCAAGGACTTCATGACTGAAACACCAAAAGCAATGGCAATAAAAGCCAGGATAGACAAATGGGATCTAATTAAATTCCAGAACTTCTGTACAGCAAAAGAAACCGTCATTAGAGTGAATCAGAAACCAACAGAATGGGAACAAACTTTTGCAATCTATGCATCTGACAAAGGGCTAATATCCAGAATTACAAAGAACTAAAACAGATATACAAGAAAGAAACAAACAACCCCATTCAAAAGCAAGCAAAGGATATGAACAGACGCTTTTCAAAAGAGTACATATATGAGGCCAAAAAAACATGAAAAAATGCTCATCATCACTGGTCATTAGAGAAATGCAAATCAAAACCACATTGAGATATCATCTCACGCCAGTTAGAATGGCAGATCATTAAAAAATCGGGAGACAACAGATGCTGGAGAGGATGTGGAGAAATAGGAATACTCTTACACAGTGGGTGGGAGTGTAAGTTAGTTCGACCATTGTGGAAGACAGTGTGGCGATTTCTCAGGGATCTAGAAATAGAAATTCCATTTGACCCAGCAATCCCACTATTGAGTATATACCCAAAGAACTACAAATCATTCTACTATAAAGACACATGCACACATATGTTCATTGCAGCCCTGTTTACAATAGCAAAGACCTGGAACCAACCCAAATGCCCATCAATGATAGACTGGACAAAGAAAATGTGGGGAAAAAAAATAAGTCATTTGCAGGGAATCCTGGCATAGGATCTGCTTCTAGGGAAGCTAACCCAACACAGCCAATTACTCATAGATTCATAGTTTCAAAGATGAATACTGGTGTGTTGGGACAAAGTGTTTGTCATCAATGGCAGTATTTCAAATAATCAATCACCTTAAATTTTCTTCCTCAAGTTTCCTTTTCCCTGACCTCTTATACCTTTAACTTCCTTATGTCTCTCTCTTCAATTATATTTTCCTGATAAAGCTCTAACCTAAATAAATCCTAGTGCCTGCCTATTCCACATCTGTACCTGCATAGTGATCATAACTGAAGAAAGTCACATAAGCATGCTGACTGGTCTCATACTTTATGGCCACTTATCTCAAGCAGTCCTTTCCCAAGGTCAAGAAATGCCATTAATAGTATAGTTCATATCCCATTATCCCAAGATTTCAGAAAAACATTTTACATCTTTTTCTCCCTTCTCAAACCTGTAACGCTTCCTCCTACCATCTCCACCATCCTGATAGCACTGTGTTTTCTGAGTAAAATAGGAAACAAGTAGTCCGAAGAGAACTTTTTCATGGCTCTATCTGAAGGCCTTTGCACTTGTTCCTCTGCCTGAAACTCTTTACCTGGGCATGTTCATACATGATTCTCTCACTTCCTTCATGTCTCTAATGTCACCATGTTCATGAGAACTTCTCTAATCACCCTTGATTTATTTTGAACCAGAGCTCTTATTATCATTAGAAATACTAATTTGTTTTTATATGTTCCAATTCTCTTTCTCCTCTCTCCGAGATCCACAAGTTTAATTGTGTGTGTGTGCACATGCACACGCGTGGGTTTTCCACCACTTTGTCTTCAGGACCTAGAATAGAATCTGATACAAAATGGATTTTCAGTCATTATTTGTTGAATGAATGAATGTTAAAGACACCTTGAGACATCCAACTCTCCAAGCAAAGAATCAGATCTATTGTGCAACTCCATTTTCTACAGTAGGTGAGTGCTCTTATTATTCAACTACATTATGATTATTATTGCACTTACTTTCCAGTTTGAATATTTTATCTTTAGCTCAGTATTCCAGTTTGATAAGTGGCTCTGGACATTTAAATTTCAAGTACAATTTTACCTATTTAAATAACCTATGGTTACTTATAATACATAATACAATGTAATTATATTGTATAATAACTTATTTTTATGTGTATTATTTTTATTGTTATATTGTTATTTTTATTGTTTGGTGTGGGGATTTAAAAAGTACTTTTATATTCAATGGCTGCAAACTCCGTATTTTCCATCAACAATATTTTAGCCAAATGCATATCACTTTGAAAAACTACAAAGAAGTCCTGACAAGGAAGCTAAGTATACTCTACTTAGTACATAATATACCTTCTATAATTACAAAATAACTATTTTTCAGGTATATATAACACAACTGGAGGTACTTTTCACGGTTAATTTGCTACATTTTGGCTCTTCAGAATTCCATATTGAAGAGCTCCTCATTCTTCTTTAAACAGGTAAACTTAAAACACACAGGGGCTTGCAGAGACACACCAAACCAGGTATTAAATGTTTGGCAAGTTAGCAGAGGGAAAGAAAGGTTAAAATTATTACCATAGGCACATAAAACACTTTTAACACTTGAATGTCCTAAAATAACAGGTTTAGGCATCCCACTAGATCTGTGTGAAGTATCAGCCCTTATTGATTATTTTGAGGAATGTTCTGGAAAGTGGATAAATGATCTTCCAGACTGGTTCACTTTGTCTCCATAAGTCATCAATCTAAAAACAAAAATGAGACCCCATTTCATTTAAAAGCAAAATGACTTGCCCCAGAATTAAGGTATTCATTTTACAAGTAGGAAACTTACAGAGTTGTTAGAGATCTGTCCAATAGATACTGAAGACAGTATCAGAATTGGGCAAGAACACAGCACAGGTAAATTTTTTTACATTCTAGTATTTCTCAATCATATTCTTCATGTCTGCAAGTTTTTTGTTATGAAATTTTCAGTCTTGAGAAACTGAAGCTGCATTTTACTAACTTGTCTATAATTTGTTAAATATCACTACATAATAAAAGTTTTAACTTTATAACTTAGATAATTCAACATAAGAGCAACTGTCAGATGTAAAGCATCAAAGAATATTTGTCAAGATTCAAGCAATTTCATGTTGGGTCACACTGTGGTACACTATTCTCTCCCTTCACTCACAAGTTGACTAGTGTCTTTAATAATTCCATGCCATGAGTCCTGTCAGGCTTTCCTACTGCTTCTTTCTCTTCAACAGTTACATTGAGCAGAGGCTTGGCACATAGCTCACTAAAAGCAGTCTTAAAGGAAACTAAAACCTTGAAGGAGATTTGTAAACTCTTTCCCTTCCAATTCAATAAACCTTATGCACTGTCTACCATGTGCAATATAAATTTCTTAGGTCTGCAAAACTCATGACTATAAAATTAGCACTTTGGCAAGAGAGTACTTACAACCTAGAAGGGGAAACAGGCAAGAGTTTTAATATGACACTGTCTACAACATATGATGTCATTGGAATTGCAGCTTAGATGTTAGAAACTGATTACCTGGTTAACATTCAAACTGTTCAATGTTTCCTTTTTCTCCTACCTTTTTCTCCTACTTTTATCTCTTTTTAAAATCAGTGAATGACACAAAATACATATGGTAGAGAAGTTTTCAAATGTTTACATTTTAATCTTCTACATACAATTTAATTTCAAGATTTTCACAAACAGTATCTGAAACACATTAGGCAGGTGTTCAATAATTATTTAATGAATAAATAATTGAACGTGATACAAAATTCAGGATTGCCAACTCCATGCCTGGAAGCTGATTTTGACTTAAGGATAATCAATGACTGAAGAGATTTAATAAATTCAAGATTCTAGGTTTCCGGGATTAAAGGAAGGAGGATTACTGGGGTAGAACACAAGTTGATTACTTCTCAGAGGAAGATGCACTGGGCTGTCACTCAGTCAGTCTGTCTAAGCCCTGGAAAGTCCTTCCTACCACTTTCTGATTACCTGGAGATATCTATTAGTCAGATGTCTAGAGGGGCTCTCTTCTTTTGGAAGCAGTGCAGGATACAGCCCTTACTGAGCCTGTTGATCTTCTGAAAGAAATCATTGCTGCCTCTGCATGACAGTGTACTTACACAGAGAAGAAAGAGCAGCATTGAAGCAGCAGCACAAGAATGATGTGCACACAACAGCCCAAGTTCTCAGCTAGGCTTGCTTGTTACTGTTCTCACTGAAGACTCACTAAGATCAAAACAAGCCTGGAATAACGACAATGCAGAAATCAGTTTATTTACCCTTAATGTATTTTGTTAAGAAAATATAAATTTGAAACTTAATAATCAAATTTATTTTAAGCAAGTGACAAGGAAAAGTGGGGTTTTTTTTAGTCATTTTAAAAAAAAAACAATATAATTGGTTAAAAATTCAACCCCATTTGTTTTTATATGGTGGTTTTCAAATTGGTGTAAGACATTTATCACGAAACCTTTGCATTTCATGAATACCATCATATAGATAAAATTAATTTTATATGTCAAGGATGCAATAATGAAGAGCTACATTTCAAACATGACTCTGAATTTACCTAAGGTAAATCCATTATTTTATCCTCCAATTACTAGATAATTGACTTCTTAGCCATGTTATAATTGATAGCCTCATAAAAGACTTTCTATTAACCAATTTTAGAAATAAAGCTACTGTAATACTTCTATACAGAATTTGATTTTCTCACTTAAATGCCTTTGCTTTCAGAGCACCTCTGCTTCATGAACCATTACAAAGTGAAAAGTGTTTGCATGAACATTCCCTGGATTAGCCTTTGCCTGACACTGACATCAATGATTACCCTACTGAAAAATCACAGCAAATGTTTGCATTTGAGAAGTCAGTTTCCCCCCACAGATTGGAGGGGAGAGTAGGAGGAATTTACAGTTGGGAATCGAAAGGTAGAGTGGGATTTGCTGAGACTACTCTAGGATATTATCAGTAGAAATAGGAAATTGCTTTTCACCATTATTACAGACACATCCTACAGAATCCTGAATCATCAGGAACACAAAGTAAAGGGGGTCAGTTGTGATAATGATTCTAGTTGTCACTGTCGGTTAGAAAGAAGTACTTTCACAATTATTTTTATACAATTGAGGACTAGTTTATTTTTAAATGTTGGAGAAAGTGGCTATCAACCCACACAGTCTAGTTTTGCTGAATCTTAATCAAGCTTTCCTCTCAAGATAGCGTGGGCTTTGCAATGCTTTTTGACTACTCAAATAGATCAGTGGCCTAAAGAAAAGCAGGAATAGGAGGAAACAGAAGACTTGTATGCCACAGGGGTGGCATTTGACTTTAAAATAAGGGCCTTATCTTGAAACTAACTAGAGCGCACAGCACAGACTGGTGAACTTTGAACGGACAGCACACAGCAAGGGTAGATGTCTTCCTGCCCTGGGATGGCTTAGGTATCACAAGGAGAGATATGCTAAGCTGCTTTCTAAATTCCCACTAAAAAGATAGATACCTGGCCCTCCTGTTCTAAGCAAGAGCTCAAAATGAAAAGGAAAACAACTTCAGCTCTCATATTAAATTTGAGTTATGGTGCTATAGAGAAGATGATATTTCCAGGAAGAGTTATAACAGCAGCAAAAACAGCCATTTGCTTCTAACTTTGAAAGAGTGACAGCCCACCAGGGTCTCAGTATGGCCCACCTACCCGCGGCTCTCAGCTTTTTGCACAAAATAGCAGCTTCTTACCATTCTGTGTCACTTAACAAAAAAAGTGCAGTATTGAAGAGGTTTCTTGGTGTAACATTAGCAGTTAATCAGATAATTGCTAAACCTCTTGCCAATAGCCTGCAGCCATACACTGTTCTGAATAATAAGTGGATTATTAATTTCTTCATCCTGGCCCTGAGCCCCTGCTCCTGCTCCCGTGGCTGCCTCTTGAATCCCTGCTGTGTCAGCAGCCCAGCTCAGATGCTCGGGCTTTCTATCCTTCACATAAACCAGGATGCAAATTGTTGCTTGTAGACCTCACAGGTAAATCCCTTCTAGTACTTACAATGCAGAGATTGTGAAGGCATTTTTCCCCCTCTAGGAAGTTTGCTTTCAATTGTTCCCAGGTTATCAGAATCAAACCATAGAAGACGACAGTTGATACTGTCCATTTCTACGGAAATCATGATTGTTTGGCATGAAAGAGACGGCCGAATTCTTATAATGTCCATGTTGCAGTAAGGTTGATTCCTCATTTCACTGTGAACTGAGCAGCTATTGATGATAAGCATTGCAATAGATGCTAGAGGAGATGTGAAATAACATAGTGATCCTTTGTGCAGCAGATAATACTGTCTTGTAGGGTGAAGAGTTCCCTATATAATAACTAAAATATAAGCAAAAATGAGACAAATGAAAAGTGAAGTAAAGAAAACTGTACAAGGAACTCTAGGAAGGGGAATTCATACTCTGCTGAGGCATGCAGCCAAAGTGTCATGCAGAGGGTTGTGTTTGAAGCCAGGAGATACGTAGCATGAACTGGACAGGAAAAAAAGAGAAAGATAATCTAGGGAGAGAGGAGAACTGACACAAACTGAAACCCAGTGCTTCCCTGGGTTCAAGCACTGATTGGGTTCTTTGTGTGTACTAGGCACTGTGCTGGTCTCTGGAGATACAAGGATAAATCCGTCACAGTCCCAGCCTTATTGAGGAGACAGACAAGGAAGCTCATTATGATAGTATTATGTAATACCTACTAAAAAGGTATGTGGCTCAAAGCAGAGGCACATTTTTTACTAAAGCATGGAAGGGAAGAGAAAATGAGCATTGAAAAATAATATAGGGCCATAGTAAAGGACCACAAAAGGCAGGGTAAGGAACTAAAGTCCAAGGAGCTGGATGTGGAATGAATTGAGAGAAAGAGAGAGAGAATTTGTGTGAGAGAGGGAGGGAGGGAAGGAGGGAGAAAAGGAAGGAAGGAAGGAAGGAAGGAAGGAAGGAAGGAAGGAAGGAAGGAAGGAAGGAAGGAAGGAAGGAAGGTTGGTTCATGAAATATTTCACAGGAAGAATCAGCAAGGGGTGGGTGAAGGATAACAAGAGAAAAATTCTAAGTTGTCTTCAAAGTTTCTTCAACATAACTTATATAAAACTAAGCCCTAAACGGTACTCTCCAGAAATATTAGGAGTTAATTTTAAGATTTCCCAAATTGAGCAAAAGAGGGCAGAGGACAGAGACCAACTCTTATATGAAAAATGATAACTGGAAGTCAAGCAATTAATTTGTTGATATTTACAGCTAAAAAATAGCTTAGAAATCAACATAAATCACTTATGTTTCAACTAATGACAAACTCAAAAGAGGGTAAATGGCATTTCCAGAGTCATACAATTGAGAATTGCTAAGACTATATCCTAGAACAATTTCCAATTCCAATTCAGGGCCCACGTTCATGGTTCTATTGCACAATTTGATCTTACATAAGGGTGGCAACCAAGACCTCTGCACCAAAAGCAACATTCTGGCTTCTTTGACAATCATCCTAGCCATCCATCTGGTCTTGCCTCCAGCCTTAACCCACTTCACCAGGCTACTGGTGAAGACTATTCATCTTTCTGAACAATAATCTGATCACATCATTCCCCTTCAAAAAGCCCTTTAGTATACCTTTAATCTACGTTTAATCAAGTCCAAATGGGCTGGGCACTGGCCACTAGTGATCACACCCCCACCCCATACTTTACTAGACCTCTCATCTTCATACCTGATTTAGCCAGATAGTTCAGCAAATATCCCAGGACAGCCCATGACTATATGGCTCTGCTGAGACTGTGTTCTCTGCTTAGACTCCTCTTACAAATAGAAGACAGACAGAGGAGAGAGTTAGAGGTTCTCTGATAAAGAGCCGTACTGAATACAGTAGGACACAGACAAGGGAGTCACTTTTTTCTACTTGTCATGGTTAGGAAATGTTTCCTATGAACAGTCAGAGTCTTCATGAGTAGGTATTTGACAGATGAATAAAATGAGCTTAGGATTTACAGCTGCTTTTGTACTCTTAATGACAGACCAGTTGTGAAGCAGACTATGTGGCCTGCAAAGCCAAAAATATTGACTATCTACCCCTTTACAGAAAAGCTTTCCCCATCACTTTCTAGACTGTAAGTTCCTTGAGGTCAGAGACAATTTACTTTCTATACTTCTATCTTTAGTGTTTAGTATATAATAGATACTCTACAAATATTTTAATAAGTTGATCTTTTTAAAATGGATATAATTTGCATATTTTATAGGTAAAAAGGGCAAAGAGGCAAATGGAAAAATTTAAAGAAAGTATCTTCAAAAATATTTAAATTGAAAAAATATACTTACATTAGCTAGGTCAGTTCTTTCAATTAATAAGGAAGTTCAACTATCTGCAGTAATTAATTTTCCCCTGGCTCTGTACAGCTGAGATTTTGCTTATCAGTGTTAGCATTGAATTTTTATAGGAGTCAAGTGCAAAGGTTTAATGAAGGTTAAGTAGAAAAGTCCCCAAAGATGGCACACACTCTTCACCTATTTTCATAGCCAGTAGTGCCACAATTTAGTAAGAAGAGTCAAAAGCTCTCCATGATCAAAGACCTCAGGAGAAGCCACCCACCTCATGGATGACACACTCTGCCTGCATACCTGATCATTTGTCTGAATGTCTCTAATGCAATGGCCAACCCTGTACAGCCTGGAGCATGAATTTATCAAAAGGAAATTGGTTCCTAAATGTAAAACTCAATATATCAAAATCTACCAGGCAGACCAGAGAGAGACAGAAAGTAAATTTAATATTGCATTTGGCCATTATAGCCCCAGTCCATCCGCCATTATTTACTCAAAAGCCTTCAGGGCAGCAGATGCGATAAGCAAAATTTTATTCCCCTGATGAATTTTTCACGGCTGCCCTTAATATTAAAGCTTTCAAGATGAAGAATGACTACATTTAACTGGTCCTCAAAGTGCCTCGTCACCAAACAGTCAGCATCTATGGGCAAGACAGCTGGAAAGGACTTTCAACCTGGCTCAAGCCATTCAGTCAACATGTATTGGACCAGAGGTCTAAGTTAGGCATTCCAGGATATAAAAGCTAGTATGATAATAGTCCTTGCTCTTGGATAATCCATATAGGAAAGGGAGAAAACAGGTATAGAAGCATAGCAAAAGTCATATAGCTAAGAGTGAGTACAGATGAAAACAGATGAAGAGACTGCAGGTATCACAGCTGTGGGGAGA